GCAAAAATAGATGGGTAGATCGGTACAACTCTGCAAGCAGTTAAAAGCCTGGTAGACCAGTATCTCTGCTAAATCCTAAATAATTGTCACATGACCATCAAGTCACACCCACAAAATAAGCCACACCCACAGAACCGGTAGTAAAAAAATTTAGAACACACCCCTGATTTCATCTAAAAATATTAAGGATAATTAATGTTTTAGAAAAGCAGTGTTGAGTGGTTGTTACACGTATAGCAATAAAATTGGAATCCTGAAGATACTTCAGTTAACTACTTCATGTTAAATGTATTTAATTTCAGCTATCAATGATCAAATGCACAATATTCTTGTCTGCATATGAAGTGGTTTTTTGACTATTGATTATTTTTAAATGTATCATTCTGAAAGTTCAAGTAATAGTTCTCAAAACTTTGCAGAGTTCTTTAAACCATGTCATTTATCTCCACAGCTCCGCTCTTTGAAAGAGATTGTTGTAATTTAAGAAAAAGTTATATAGGCTTGTTTAATTTGCTTCCTACTTCTCATGAAATTAGAGGGAGCATGTTTTACAAAAATTAAGAAAATTAGAGAGTTGGGGAAGCTTTAGAGATATGTACATACCTGCATCCTTTTTTAGAAATGACTAATACAGAAGGTTTTCAGCAGAAGTCTCCAAAGTCAGCTTTCAGCAAACAAGATAAATTTGGAGAATGTAGAGTTTGCTTGCTTTAGCATACATTTGAAATATTCAAAGTATACAGATAATTGTGTCAAATGTTTAAGTTTACACATCTTAAATGGATACAAAAGAGCTATTTTAAACCATATTGAATTTTTGGAACACTTCATTTTCTTCTTTCTTGCAAGTTTATTTAAAATTTGAAAATATAGTTTGGGTCATTTTAATTTATATTTGGTAATGATAAAAGAAAATATTTGTAGTTCAGGGTTGAACTGTGGGGTCCTTGGTGCTCTCTGAGATTAGTGGTTATCTTGCAGACATTTCATTACCAAACTAGGTAGTACCATCAATGTTAGAGGGCATTTCTACCTAGTTTGGTAATGAAACATTTACAAGAAACCACCAAGCTCAGAGAGCACCAAGGACCACATATTTGGTAATATTTGTTTAATTAGGGGAAGGGGCTTCAAGAATTACTGTGTGGTGCAGTTTCAGTCACCCTAATTGCATAGAGATGATTTCCACACGGACATTATATAACTTAAGTAATACTCAGTTGTCTCCAGGAAACATAAAATTGATATGCACGCAATCAGGAAACATCAGACTGCTATAATCACAGTCATAGAGTATCCCAGAGAGAATATTTATCATGAAAATGGTTCCAATCTTGAGAAAGGTCTGGAGCTATAATATATAAAGTTGAAAATTATGCCATGAGCTTAAAAGGGTCATTTTTATTACTTTAATCAATAAAGTAAAAAAAAAAAAAAGGAGGGAGGACCACTAATAGTATCAAATGGAATTGCAAGCTGCCTAAACATATAGCATCAGCACTGACATATACATTTGCTGTAATTTTTAGAGTTTCTTTTTACCTACGCAGCAAGCTAAAAAACAATCAGAACATTTTTTTTCTCTTACTCTAAAATCTATTTTTTCAGAGTGGGATCTCTGCTTCATGGCAAGTCCATACATTCATTCTGAAGGTACAACTTAATGGTCCCTTATGTTTAGGTGCCAAGGATCCCAATGTCCTTGGCAATAACAACACCCACAAAAGGAGAGACTGAACATTTTTCACCCTTTTCTCATAGGTGAAGTGGGAGTCTCAAGTTATTTAAAGGCAAAATACTTGCACTAAATCTAGCAGAGACTGAAAATACCTACTGTCACTCTTTATATAAAGAAAAACAAAAATTGTATTGTTGAAAATTGTTGTTTTGAAAACATAATCCAGTTCTAGGGCTGCAAAAAATGAAGAGAGATCAATGACAATCCACGGGTTGTGAAATTCCCATTTCTGGCACATAAGGATTCAATTGTTCATTACAGTTTAAAACCATAAACCTTGGTGGGAAGAACTGTCTTGAAAAACAGCCTGTGCATAATCCCTGTAATTATTTCTCTGATTCCAGAGAGAGTCAGAGTGAGAGCAAATGATATGCCATAATTAGGCAATAATGTATGCTTGTGGACAATTATTAAGTAGCGCCGACATCACTAAATACTACATTATAGACATTAATTAAGAAGTTAGAGAAGTCTGTAGGAAGCAATACTTCACCTTCATTGTTATTTATGAATACATCAGAGCTGTATCTGCCATCCATTTTTATTTCCATCAGCATATAAAGTAGTTCCGATGAGATCCAAACTACTAGTCTCTATGCACTGCATTTTAAATGGTGTTTATTTACCATGGAATGAAATAACTTAGCTTTCAGATGTTGACTATCAAGGGATGATCAGCTAAAAAATTTAGGATGAAAAAAATTAGAGATTTCATGTTCCCTTTAAACCAAGGGTCTCCATCCTTAGCAACTTTAAGCCTGGCGAACTTCAACTCCCAGAATTCTCCAGCTGGGAAATTCTGGGAGTTGAAGTCCGCCAGCTTAAAGTTGGAGGCCCCTACTTTAAACCAACGTTTAACATTTATATAGTGATATTTATCACTGACTTTCAAAAAAAAAACCCTGTCTAGTTAGTGGTATTGGTACTTCATTTGTATATTTGTTTGCCTATATTCTAGGAAGAATTCTTAATGGAACTATGACCAAGATAAATTTTCAACGTAATCTGATTGTAGAAAAGTCATGCTATGGTTGATTATTAGAAAGAGATAATGATTCACCCTCTTCAAGTATGAGGACTTTCTTCTTTTCAGTGTCTAGATCAAAGTTTAAACTGCCAGAATGAAACTACCCTTTTGGCTTTGTCATTGGCCCAAAATAAGTCATTATAGGACATATTTCTGGTAGTAGCCAACATACCAGCAGATAGGCCTGTCTCTTTGTCTCTCCACATTCACATAGTGTGTTGTTATCTGCTGAGAGTCTCCACATGAGCATATTGGATTTACATTTAGGCACTCCAACTCTCAACCTATTCAGGGTCCTCGAAGTAGCATAAGGCAGGTCAATCTTTCAGTCATATTTTCCTTTAATGTTATTTCTTGCTCAATGGTCTCCTTCCTCCTTCTTTTAATTTGATTTTGTTCTTGTGTACCCTTAAGAATGTTTGTTCTTGCCGTAAAGCTGTTCCTAGATCTGAGTCAGCTTTATGAGGACTTTATCACACTCTCTAAAAAATTATCTTCAAACACATTTCATGACAAGACATAAAGAATGGGCTAAAATCATATTTTCCTTTGTGCAATGTATAAAATAACTGTAGGGACCGTTGTCAGAGATAATACTGAAAATAAATTTTGTTGTGCGAGTTGTATACCAGTATGAATTGCTAACCTAAGAAAATGTAAATGAGAAAACGTTTGGTAATTAGTAATTTAACTTTGATGGATTACAATTGAATAATCACATTCCTGTGAAATTTTATCATAGCTGCAAATTATAATATGGCTTAAAATAAGAATGGATTGGTAATACACGAAAATGTAATGACTTTCAAGTATTAGGAGAAATCTATAGTCCACTTCTGCCATCTTGTGCTCAAGGTTGGAACAAGTCTTGCCTTCCATCAAAGTTGAAGGAAAACAATTTAAAACATTCACACTGGGCATAAAAATAAAACTATAAAATAACAATTGGAATCTGTCAAGCAGTACAACCCATTGAACTTGCCAAATGAGATAATCTCTGGCAAATCTGATCAGTTTAGTTGGCGACATACTACACAATTTGCTATGCTAACTAGTCACAGTGACAAGGTGGGAGCAGTAGGAAAAGAGAAATGAATATAGGTCAGGAAAAAGGAGACTATCAAATTTCATTATAAGTTCTGCATCTTTTTCTAAATAATTTTAGCATTTATTACCCTAAAATTAACAGGGGTTTTACAGCACAGAAATGTGTTAAATTGGATTTGTTTAGGTTTCGGTACTGGAACAAGAGCTAAACTAATAAAGCTTGCTTCTCAGTTTCTGAAAATTGCCAATCTCTTCATACCAGTTAATCACCGTTGTTATATGGTTTCAGAATAGTGACCATTTTGTTTCCTGGATCCTCGGACAAATGTTGGAAGTGTAATTCGGCAGGGGTACTTTTTTTCACCAGTGGTGGACCTGCCCTCAGATCAGGAAATTTTGGGAAAAGATTCAAAAATGGTTGAACGAGATAACAGGTGCAAGTTTCCCCCTAACTCCAGATTCTTACTTACTTGGAATCAAACTAAAAGAAGTGGGCAAATAAGACTGGCACCTATTCATCCATATTACAACAGCAGCGAGAATGGCACTTGCCCAGCATTGGAAAAATACAAATACACCATCAGATCAACTTACAATAAATAAGATATTGAATTGTGCCGAATTGGACAAATTAACGTATATCCTAAAAGACAAAAAAGAATCCATATACTACAGTAACAGGGAACGCTGATATATATGGCTAAAGAAGAGGACAAACATAGAATAAATAACATAGTATTAAATATATAATGAGATAGCGTTAATTATAATGAGATAGCGTTTGGTATTTAAAATAGTCAATGCTATTTGAACAAAAGGATTTACCGGAATGTAACTATGAATAAGTATCTGGGGGTTCGATATGACCTCCAGTTAGTCCTTCTCTGTGGTTGTCTTTATGTGTTGTGTTGTGTATCTATATATAACTTATATCTGTTTGAAAATTACATTATATATATTTTTTATTTGTAAATAATTAATAAAGATCTATTTAAAAAAAAAGAATAGTGTCCATTTTGATTAGATTAAGTCTTGGTTTAATATTAAGCTTTAATATGTGATAACTGATGTTTTAAAACATATTGTTAAAGCACAATTTAAAGTTTGATTTTCACTGTTATGGCTTCCTCTGTATGGTTTATTTGAATTGCTTACTCTCCTCTCCCTCTTTTTTTTTACCCACTACAGAGCTCTACTCAGATAAAATGGCCAAGTATTATTGCGAGTAATCACATCAACCGTTCCTATCTTCACATCCTTTTTACGTCATGGGACCTGATGGCAGTTTCCTAAGTACTGGAGTGCTTCATATTATTGTATGGGGTAGCTTGGGAGCCATGGCAATGCTTCTGGTATTTAGTTTTCTCCTCTTTCTCTGCTCTGGTTGTGACAGGTAAGGATTTAGTAAAAAAAAAAGAAAAAGAAAAGAATAGACATGTAATTACTTTGGAAAGCTAATAGTCAATAAGTGAAGGGCAAGAAACAATCTATTCTGAGTTCCATTCAGGGATATTGCAGTCTCTTTGAATATTTGTATTGAATCACTGAATAAAATATATCCAAGGGAAATATTATATTTCCCTTGGAAATATAATAGGAGCATAGAAGCCTGCTTATTAGGAAAAAACCAACCAACCAACCAACCAACCAGGAGCCTGGTAGCAGTTTTTCCAACAAACAAATTTTAATTCAGCCTCCCAGAACATTGCATAACAAACCTGAGAGTGGTTTAGGAAAACAGGACTATAAAAGCAACAATAAATTGATGAATATCAAATTTTATATCAAAAGTTTTCAGGAACTTTCAGAAGGTTTCAGCAAATTTAACTAATGGGTTTGTAATGTCTAGCGATGGTTAATAGTTACTATACGCATAATTTGTTTCACACTTCACATCTGTATAACCAATCTAGTTTCCCCTCCCTTCACTTTTTTCCCTCCCTCCCTCCCTTTCTCCCTCCACACACACGCACTTTAAATCCTATATCATTTTAGCTGCTCTGTGCACCTGATGAAAGAGGCTGCAGCTCACAAAAATTTGTGCCTTGTAATAAAAATTTATTGGTCAGACATCGTGCTGCCAGGCCTTTGGTTTTAGAGTAATATGGGTGTTCTACTATGACAATAAAATATTTAAGTACATAGAAAATAGCAAGCGCTATGGATAATTTAAAACAAGTGTTTAGCATTTTTATTTGGCAATTATCCATTCATAAAACCTTATCAAGAATTTCAAAAGACTTTGGCAAAGATTGTGTAATCCATTTCCATCCAAAGGAAAACAAAGTAACACCAAGGATTTCTTAGCAACACGGAGATTAATGGGTTCACTTTGACATGTGCTTTCTTAGCAGCTAATAAAAGAATTGTCCTACTTATAAAATTATATGAGTGCTATTAATGTTTTCAGATTGTAGAACTTATTATTGGTTGTAGTCAAAAAGCTCAAGTTCAAAACATCAGCTGTTCTCTGAATTACATATATCATCTATCTCTTCAGAATGAGAAACTTCTCCATTATACTATCTCATAGAAGAAAGAAATTAATAACATTTCCTATGAGATTTAGGAAACAAAGACTTTTTTGCAGATATCAAGGTAACCAAAAAAATTGGAATTGGCAACAAAAAAGACAGGTGTTTTTTTTTTATCACCATTCAACACCAGCCAAAAAAGAATAGAAAAGAGCATCAACTTAAAGTATAATATTTTCATGTGGCATATTTGAAAGAATAGCAATGCAAAATTCAAATTTGAAATATAGTAATAAGCATATCAATACTATTCAGAAGTCAGAATTAGTCAGAATTTACATTATATAAATCTTATTTGTTGAAACTGATCATAGATATTCTAACAATATATCTAAATCTGATTTGCATTACAGGGAGAACAGGCCTGAGCAGCAAAATGGGGACCATGAAAATCTGATGAATGTGGTAATAAAAATAGCTATTTAAAATGTTTTTTCTATAGTTTGTCTGTAATGAACGAGAAAGACTGAACTGTGGAGCTGGAGTATTATTTAAGGGTTGGGTATGAATAAATGCTAAGAATGCATTTATGTAATCCTTATACAAAATGATAAATGATATTTGCCTCATTTTATAGATGAAAAAAACTACACAGACTACCTAATCAAGCTGAGTACAGTTATTTTTACCCTGTGGTATACCCACTTAGCCAGTGGTGGGTTGCTCCCGGTTTGCACCAGTTCGCAAGAACCGGTAGTAAAATTTTTTAGTAGTTCGGAGAACCGGTAATAACATTGGCTGGCCACGCCCCCTCCAGTCCCCGGACTGGTTGCTGCTCGCTTACCCCACCCATCTCATCAGAGGCTTTTTTTTTTTTACTTTTAAAAGCATTTTTTTCTACAACCTCTTCGGCTGAAAAAATGTTTTTAAAAGTTAAAAAAAAAGCCTCTGATGATCGCGCGGCTCAGCTGGGATCTCAGAGGCTTCTAAAAGCATTTTTTCCTGCAACCTCTTAAGGTTGTAGAAAAAATCCTTTTAAAAATTTTTTTTTAAAAAAGTGGGCCACGCCCACCCAGTCACATTACCCCCCACAAGCCATGCCCACAAAATAAGCCACGCCCACAGCTGGTAGTAAAAAAATTTAGAACCCACCCCTGCACTTAGCACACCAGTACATGATTTTCTGATCAAAATAGGCATATATAATAAACAATATAAAATAAGAATTCTCATGCACACTCCTGACAGAAGGAACTTTCACCATTTGAAAAGTTATCTTCAGAATTTCAACAGTATGTTTAGTATTTTCAATGACATCATTATCATTCCTTTGCTATAACCATTCCGGGCCTGAGGGATATTCGGGTTAGTTAAGAGGGCTGACCTTTATATGAATTTTTTATAGACCATGAAAATACATATTTTTAAAACAAATGATTCTTATTTTGATTTTAATACCTGATCAGCAGTATAATCTGTTACTGGTATGGGATGGGCAGCTATATAAATTAATCAGGAATTAATCAGGAACAGACATATACAAAGCTATAATTTTAAAAACTTTTATTGTTATATGTACACATAAACTTACAGAAAGTGTAAAATCTTAAGACATACAGTTTTATAAGCCTCTTTTTTAAAAAATGTCGTAAAGAATATTGTTATATATCTGGCAAAGAAAAGTCTTTATTATAGGAACCTTTTCTGAGTTCATTAACATGTTAGCAATAGAATTACCCATACACACTTTTCTTTACCCTTGTATGTTGAAGAGCTTCTGTGCTTTATAGTCTTCTTCTTCTTCTTCTTCTTCTTCTTCTTCTTCTTCTTCTTCTTCTTCTTCTTCTTCTTCTTCTTCTTCTTCTCTTTCTCCTCCCTCCTCCTCCTCCTCCTCCTCCTCCTCCTCCTCCTCCTCCTCCTCCTCCTCCTCCTCCTCCTCCATTAAATATTTTTACCATCACTCCTCTCTTTCAGGTAATTTTAACATACAAATCTCCCCTAAAAATCCAAGAACAATAAAACAAAATACAAATGTATGATAAAAACAATACAATGAAGCTTTAGTAAAGCTTGACTTATTGTAACAATGTAACTAGAACCTTCTTCACGCCTCTCCTGGACTCTGTCTGGATTTCCTCAAGGGAGATACACCTCACAGTTTGGGAAACTCTGTCTTAAACACAGATTAGCAATGTGAGTTATTTAGTTTAGAAGGCCCTTACTCTTAACAGTGTTTACATTTATTTTATTTTTTTTTTGCCTTAAGTACTGTCTATAGTAGGGGTGTCAAACAGGTGACCCATGGGCCGAATGCGTCACACCCAGGCCACACCCACCACAGCTCCGCAAATGGGAGAAACATCATGTGGTGGCAATTTGATGCCGTGAGTTTGACATCCATGGTCTATAGGAGAGAAGAGGAGAGAAGAGAAACAATCCTGAGATTCAGACCATCTACAGATCTGTAGATATTTGATGTTTTTGCAATCCTCACTACTAGAACTCTAACATTAACATGTCATCCAGCAATCTAGCTACCTAGCTACCATCAATCATAAAATGGATGTTCATATCCTGACTAGTTCATTTAAATCCACATTTTGTTTTGCAGCCTTCAGATAAAGAGGCATTTAGTCACTCTGTCACAAGTCTGGCTACAGATCCAATTGCAAGCAGTGAACAAAATGGTGGAATCAGTAATGGAGATGGTAAGATTATCATTATGTGATTTCTCAGCACTTGATGACTCACCATAAATATATACATTGCCACTGTATTGTTTTTAAAATGATGTAAGCTGGCAATCCTGATTCCGTTTACAGTAACTATTGTTACAGAATGGCAGTCGTTCAGATAAGAGGATAAATGTCAATGTAAGACAGCTGGCTGGTACAAATCAAGAACAGAGTTGGCTCAGGACCTTGGACAGTACTATATGATTCATGACTTGAATTCAGTACCGTGGCTAGCAGTCCTGCAGTTAGTACCGTAGGAGAACCCTAACTAGTGCAAAAACTCAGTTGTTAATAGTTAACAATAGTTTTGATAAAAATGACTAGTTTAGTCATTCCTTTGGAAATAGTTAATAAAACTAAGGATGTTCTTATTGCCTACTGGCAGTTGAATGGGGATATAACCACAAATAGAATTCTACTACAGAAGAGACTTTGACTAGCCTTATAACAATATATTTTTAAAAAATCAGATGAGAGTAGAGGAAAGCTACAGAAATTGGATCATAACCAACATAGGGAGCCTGGATAGCTCAACAGACAGAGCTCTGTAATTTAACACCAGCTATCTGCAATTAAAGTAAGATCGAATCTCGCCAGGCTCAAGATTGACTCAGCCTTCCATCCTTTCTAAGGTAGGTAAATTGAGGACCCAGTTTGTGGGGGCAATAAGCTGACTTTGTATAAATATACAAAAGTATAAAGGCTATTGCTTAACGCATTGTAAGCCGCCCTGAGTCTCTGGAGAAGGGCGGCATATAAATCAAATTTAAAAAAAAAAAAAACAAACTTAAAACCCACTGATTTCACTGGGATTCTTCAAGATGATTACTGTTTTCCCCAAAATAAGACATCCCCTGATAATAAGCCTAATTGGGCTTTTGAGCGCATGTCAGTAAGGCCAAGCGCTTATTTCAGTGTTCAAAAAAATATAAGACAGGGTCTTTTTTTTTTATTTGATTTATATGCCGCCCTTCTCCGGAGACTCAGGGCGGCTTACAATGTGTTAAGCAATAGCCTTCATACTTTTGTATATTTTATACAAAGTCAGCTTATTGCCGCCGCAATCTGGGTCCTCATTTTACCTACCTTAGAAAGGATGGAAGGCTGAGACAACCTTGAGCCTGGTGAGCTTTGAACTTGCAGTAATTGCAGGCAGCTGATGTTAATAACAGTGGTTTAGTCTGCTGCGCCACCAGGGCTCTTTTGGGAAAACACGGTAGTCTGGAACCCACTCTGAGGAAGAAAAAAACAGTGTATTTATATTTTGATTCCGCATGGAAAAATATGTATGTTTGCATAGTTTATGAATGCACTTCCAGACTTGAATATTTACTGTATATGTTATGATAAGATTTTCTCTGTTATGTAAACAGTGTAACAATTCAATTCCTGAGTCAATTACAGGTAGTCCTCAACTGACAACTTCCATTCGGCTTAAATTCATTTAGTGACTGTTTGAAGTTTCTACAGCAGTGGTCCCCAACCTTTGCAGCTTGTCGGCCCAACGGGGGGGGGGAGGGAAACCAAGCCGCACAAGCGGTGGGCCGGCACACAGCTCAACTTGTACAAGTTGAGTTGCATGTGTGCGCATGCGCCCCAGCCCACCACTCATGCAGCCCAGTTGCGAATAGGCCATGGCCTGGTAGTGGGCTGGGGGTTGGGGACTCCTGTTCTACAGCACTGGGAAAAAATGACTTATAACCATTTTTTACACTTATAACTGTTGCCACATCCCCATGGTCACAAATTTAGATGCTTGGCAATTGGCATCTATTTATTACAGCTGCTACACCTTCTGACAAGCAAAGTCAATGGGGAAGGCAGATTCACTTAACAACCATTTTGTTAACATAACAATTACAGTGATTCACTTAACAACTGTGGCAAGAAAAGCTAGTTGTAAAGTTGTAAAAGCCATTAAGCAAAACTTACTTAACTTGCTTAGCAATAAGTCTTGCTTAGCAATGGAAATCTTGGGCTCAGTTGTGGTCGTAAGTCAAGGACCACCTGTAATAAACTATAATATACAGTACTGTACTCATTACTAATGAGCAAATGTGTATAGAAGAAAATATATGTGAGGAAATGGGAACCAGTTAGGTTTACTTACTTTATAACTGGGAAGTCAACTGGAGAGTCTTCCTGGTTGACTGCGCATTTGAAATTATCTTAATTTTAAAAAGTGTTGAGAACCTTTCTTTCTAGAAGCTTAAAATAAATATAGTGATATGATGGGATGAATTCCTTAAAGTAAATATCATACACTTGGATATTTTTTGACAGAACACAGGACATTGGTAACCCTTTACCTCAGTGTTTCTCAACCTTGGTAGCTTGAAGATGGGTGGACTTCAACTCCCAGAATCCCCCAGCCAGGAGCGCTGGCTGGGGGATTCTGGGAGTTGAAGTCCACCCATCTTCAAGTTTCCAAGGTTGAGAAACACTGCTTTACCTGCAGTTTGTCTGCTCCAAAAAAATTAATTTATTGGTTTATATTTACTGTAAAAATTGTGTTCTGGGCTTCCAATGAGTATGATAGCAGATCCAAAGGGGGGCAAAATTAAGGGATAAACACAAACAGGGTCTCAAACATTAGTCTCCAATACAATGCTATGGGGAAACTAGGCATAGATATAGGTCTGATAGGCAGGATCAAAGTTCAGGTAGCTTAAAATGGTATGAAACCTATGAAATGGAGTTTGTATCAAGATTTCCCAACTTGCTTCTCTTGATAGCTTCCTAAACTCTTCATCCATAGTTTTAGCAGAACTTCTTAGTTCTTATTGGTGCTCTAGAGATTTCAGAGCCATAGTTCTGCACCTTATGACACCTTCAGCTCAGAGACATTCTGTCCTTATTAATGGACTTCTGTTTCTCTACACCAGGGGTGTCAAACTTGATTTCATTGAGGGCTGCGTTGTGTTTGACCTCGAAGAGCCGTGAGTGTGAGTGGGCATGGCCATGGTGGGCGTGGGTGGGGTGGGGTGGCCATGGTGGCATTTGACACAGGCTCAAGATACATTTTTCCCTTCTCTTCCTTCTTTCCACAGTTCTTTACTATAATCATTTTCCTATCTCTTCTACCAGATATTACTGGCAAACATTTATTACTTATTCTTCATACTCCACTAAACTTTTTATTTCTAAATTTATACCCTATTGTTTAATAGTAAATTGCTTTTCCAGGCAGAAAAGCTATTTATACTATTGTATTTTTATTATTCAACTAATAATAAAAATATAGTACCATAAATAACATAATACAAGATCTAACAGCAGAGGTAAATTTCCAGGATAGTAAATAGAAATGCTGTCGATTATAGATTGTTGATTGGCATTAAACTGTAGTATTAACATAGAATGTTGCTTGTTTTCTATCCAGATCAAGCATTTACCTGAAGCCACATAATTGTAATCCAGTCTAATCCAGTCCTCCTGCAGTACTCTGCCGGCCGAAAACGGGCCGCATGGAGGCCCCACATGGAAGCAAATTTTCTTTTTCCTTTCTAGTAGAGATTGAGTGATCTTAAACAGAGTTACTGACCACAATACAATAAAAGTCATCTTCATCTTTCCAACCACAGTTAACAACTTTCACACTTATCCATTCATTCTAAAATCTTTTAGCCTGTTTCACCATCTTTCATCTACCAATGTTATCAGTTCCATCCATTTATTCTCTTTTTGGCCAAACAATCCAGCCTCAACCTTCCAGAGCAATTGGAAATATGCTGCAGCAATCTCAAAGAAAAACAGATCCAATACCAAACAAACTTCATGTGACCCCAAAACAAAAAGAATCCAAATGGATTGAAAAATAATAAAGTTAACAAATGAAGAAAAAACCAAATATAAACCAAAGTAAACTTACATTAGTATTTTCAGTCTGGCAACAAACATGTTCCTTATGCGCCAATATCTTTTTTTTAAAAAATGATACAGATACATTGTGAAATATAGATTAATGGCCTTATGAGCTTATACTTAAGTACTTATGCAATTTTCTTCTAGTTCTTTCAGAAGATAGTACAGCTGCTTCTCTCCAACCTTACGAAGAAGTGCAAACCTCTGTTACAGATCTTTTGGATCAACAGGACACATTGGGAAGATCTTTAAAATGTCATCAAAGTAGAGAGCTACCTAGGATCCCTCCAAATAATGCCATAGAAACTATTCTCACCACAAGAAATGCAGAAAATGACCAGAGTCTGGGAATGGAGGGGCCCTATGAAGTGCTGAAAGATAGTTCCTCCCAAGAGAACATAGTAGAAGACTGCTTGTATGAAACAGTGAAGGAAATTAAGGACCTAGGAGCAGCAGCCAACTCAGAGAAATGCAAACCAAAGACTACTGTGATGGTTAATGGAATTTTAGATCATGTTCTTGAGAAGAAGACAGAATCAGCAGAATATGCATCCGTTGACAGAAATAAAAAAAGTTGCCACAGTGTTAATTCAGAGAGTCCTCTTAGCAGTACTACTCCAGATGTGGAAGAAGAAGCTCCACCTCCTGTACCAATAAAACTTCTTGATGAAAATGAGAATGTACAGGATAAAGGAGCCAAAGAAGAGGAGGAAGTAATGGAAAGGCTTAATGAACCCGACAAGGTATATGTTATTTTGTGTTATCAGTATAAGAAAGTGAAGTTGTAACTTGAAAGACTTGCAGTATGTATATGAACTATGGCAAACGCTGTTGTTCATTAGTAAATATAAATGTTTTGCTGATGCAAAATCTTAAGATCAAAACTAGCAGTATTATGTGATCTGTGTAAAATGTGTGAATGTTTACATGTGCATTCATAAATGAAAGATAATATTCAAGTGGCTAGAGGAAGGCATGGAATCCTATGCAGTTGGTGATAGTTTTAAGAGTATAAATCTTACTGTTTCCTAAAATTTTAGAGACATTTGCATGAATGTTTTATTCACCATCTACCCAGGAGACACATGCTTGCCAACTGATCATTAATTAGTCTAATTAGTCTGTCCCTTGTTTTGAAATATTCCAGATAATCTACATTGGGAGCAGAAGGTATTCAAAGTGTTACTGTTGGCCAACATCTAGCCAGCCAATAAAACATAAAATGTAGGAGAGAAGAGAATCCTGGGGTGGAATCTAAAACTGAATTTTGCTAATGTGATATAGTTTTTTTGTTCTCCTCTCCCCTGCAATCTCTCAAAAACCTTCAACATTTGTTCCAGAAAGACAGAATGACTCACGCCCTACTGTTTTCATTATTGCTCATGAAAACTTGCAATTGGATTTCTCCCCTGGCCTTCAGATTTCTGATCTAATTTTAGATTTAAGTGTATCCACAATTTTAATTTGTAATAAAAACAAAGAACTTTCTCTAGTTCATGCTGCAAAGGTCCAACTGCTTATGACAGCATGAATTTCTGTTAAGTAGATTATAGATCAAAATATGTCAAGTATTTCAGTTTTCAGAAATGCAATCTGTCACATTTTAAATAATATTAAAAACTAATTTGAATAACTCTTTAAAGAGAAGCAACAAATGAGGGAGGTTATTATCCCTACAACTCTATCCAGGATAATGGTTTACCAATGATAAACAAATTAGTGGTGTTTTCCTGACCCAGATCTTCAAATTGTACAATTATAATGCTGAGGAGAAGGATGAAGATGATGATGATAATGATGATGATGATGATGGGGTGCTTGTTGGAACAAAACTTATTTGTTGATAAACAACTCAAAGAATTCATTAGTACTATCCAAGGGATTGGAAAATGCTCATGTCTTATTCCTTTGTTTTCTTCCATACCTCACACAATCCTAACAAAATTACCATAGAAGTAAAACTAAGTAAAACTGTTAGCCTTTTTTCCCCCAGATCAGTTGGCCAAAGTTCATGGCTGGATGTGGGGTAGGGAGAGAGGAATTAAGCACCCAAACACAGAGACACTATATTTAAAGTATTCTGAATTTCTTAACCACAAAAATTTAAAAGGTAAAAAAATAGAACTAGTATAAATTTCTTTGCTCCAGTTCCATGAATGCTTATCAATTGTTGCTCATCCAAACTGGAAAAATAATTTTGGAGTTATTATTATTCCAAATATTTAATTTTTTTTATCAATATAAAATACAAAAATAGAAAAGCAAAATAACAGGAAAATAAGAGAGGGGAAAAAAGACGGGAAAAGTTTAGAGCAAAGGGGGGAAAAGAAAGAAAAAGCATTGACTTCCGACTCCTTTTGGTGCAGAAGAATAAGATAACAGCATCAGACCTCAACTTTTTACTTTTATATAATAATACAAATTAATTATACATATCTAACAGTCCTATCTAATTGGCAAAATCCAAAATCAAAGTTTCATTTTTTTTCATCTCAAGCCCAAAGCAGTTTCCAAGTAGAAACAAAGTTAATTTTGTTTTTTGTTTTTCTTTAATCAGAGCAGTCAATTTGGCCATCTCGGCATCTCTCCATCAACTTTTGCAGCCATTTATTCATTGTAGGAATCAAAGTGTCCTTCCATTTTTGTGCATAAAGTAATCTTACTGCCTTCAACATATATAACATCAAAGTTCTATTTTTTTTTTCCAAATCTTCTTCCATGGAATTTTTAACTGATTTAACTGTTACCTTTCCTTAGCTATTCCAGATACCGTGCTTGACTTGATTAGTTATTTATACTATTGACTGTTTGTTGTTGGGGAACAGAAAAAAAAAACTATTCTTAATTTCATTGAAGATCTCCACATTTATAGTTGCCTATTTATTCCTCCACTCCATTCTTTATTCAATTGAATCTCTTCTTTTATCCTGTATCTGCTTGATTTGCTGAAGAATTTCTGATGAAGGCATTGCTTGAAAGCCTTTTGAAAATCTAGATGATTATCTATCAATCTGAAAAAAATAGCAAGAGACTTCTCTTTCAGAATTTTTTTCTTTTCAGCAAATCTTGATAATTTTATCTTTAATAGTTTGTTAATAAATTTTAAGGGATTAAGTTAACTTGCCCTGATGCATTTTAAAAATCACTGTGACATTGAATACTTTCTAGTTCTCTGGGAAAGAAGCCAATCTTAGAGAGATCTTTATTACCTATTATTTTTAGATCAGAGAAGTTTTTCAGTAAGATGTAGACCTTAATTTCTCAGACTCTCACTTGAAAAACCTTAACCCAAAACTCCTTACAGTATATTCTTTGCAGGTAAGATTTTTTTTAAAAAAAATCAGCTTCTTTGCTAACAATTTGGTATCCTTCACACCCAAAACTAAGTCACAAAATAGCCTGATAAAATTACAAAAGCATTTACTGATCTTAATATTGATATAATGTCTTCCTTCTTCCACTCCTTCCTAGTATCTTTCTCTCGTCCCTGAATAGAAGGATTTCTATGGTTTGGAAAGAGCAATCCATTTTCCAGTCTTGCATCTTCTTCCTTAGGAAGGAGCTGAAGCTCAATGGTCGATATAACATATTCTTTGCATCTTCCTAGAATGGGAAAGGTTGGAACAAATTCAGGACAACTTGTAGAATTGCTGCAAGTCACTGAAAAGAAAATTATGACCAAGATATATGATATTATGTTTCAGTAGTCTGAAACATAAAATGATTGAGTGAGAGGATGGTTCTGCATATTTTGAAGAAGGCATGGTTCGCCTCTTCTTTAGGAAGCCACTACTGGACCCAACAGAAATTTTTGTCCCATCTCCAACTGTCTCTCTCTAGGAAAGATGGTTGAGAAGATGGTCAGATTGTAGCTTCAGACGGTCCTGGAAGAAGTGGATTATCTGGACCTTTTCAGTTAGTATTCAGGTTGGGGATATAATAGAGATAGTATTGATCGCACATCTCAATGCTTCTGACAGAGCTAGTATATTGTAGCTATAGTGCAACTGCTCTGGTTCTTTTTGCTTTCCTGCCATCTTCTTTCATTATATACTTCTGCACTGACCGCAGGGAGTAGGTGTGGGATACATGGTGATTGGTGATTGTCTACGGTACTCCATGGGTAGTTTCAGTGAGTGGTGACAGGGTGGTGGCAAGATTAAATCTGAGCCCTGTGATTTGTATGATGCCACAGGTCTCCACATCTTCCCTTCCTGCTTAAGATCTACATGGACATGCTGAGGGATGTCATCTTTCAAGATGTGATCAAGTGTCATCAATATGCTGATGATACTCAATTTTATATCTTGATCCTGGCATGACCAAGGGATGCTGTGGATGTCTTGTCCCAGTCCCTGAAAGCTGTTTGGTCTTGGATGGAAAGGAAGAGACTTAAACCTAACCCTAATAAGACCAAGTATTCTGTGTCCCTTGGATTTTCTATCCTTGGTTCTGAATGGGGTACAATAATGCACAGTGGTGCACAATTTGAATTGAAGCTCTTACTTGTACATTAGGTGGCAGCTGTGGCCAGGGATACTTTTGCCCCAATTTATTTGGCATGCTGGTTTTGTTCTTTCCTTGTGTGATAATTCCTTTTCACAATCAATCCCACCCTAGTCACCTCATGTGTAGACTGTTGTATTTCATGCTACATGAGGATGTCACTGAAGATTAATCAGAAGCAGCTAGTCCAGATTCTGGCAATGAAGACAGTTATGGGAATTCCTTGGTGTGCCCAGGTATAAATTCTGCTGCATGAGCAGCATTGCTTCCAGGTGCAGTTCAAGCTGCTAGTTATGACATACAATATAAAGCTCTTGGCAAAGGACCTTGCTATTTGAAGGACTGTCTTTCTTCTATTACTTCTGCTTGTCTATAAGGTCTGAATGAGTGGCCATGCTCCAAGTCCTTCTTTAAAATGATGGCATCTAATGAGATCCAATTACCTTAATTCCTTGGTCACAGCACTTGCTCTGTGGAATAGTATCCCCGAAGAGCTTCATGTTGGCCCAATCCTGCTCTTCTTTAAACAAGCCTGGAGGACCAGGTTTATTTCCCCTAATTGATGAAGTGCTTTCTCTGAGAATATTAATGTACTAGAAGTATGAATCTTCAGGTTATTGTTTTCCTTTTGCTTTTATTGTGCTGGATCCAGGGGTGAGTTCTACTTACCTTTACTACCAGTTCACAATGGGGCCACATGCGCAGAAGCTTCCTGATGACATCAGGGTCAGTGGGCGGAGCCTCCCGCTGGTTTTACTACTGGTTCTTGCAAACCGGTCCAAACCGGAGGCAACTCACCACTGGCTGGATCTATTTTTAACTTGAATGACACCCCAGAGTCCTTATGAGTTGAATAACCTTATAAATCTAATTTATACATAAGCGGATGATTCCGTTAAGACAGAGAAGCATTTGAAAACTGAAGCAAAAAAAAAACATTTGGGAAAGGTCAAAGGTTTATCAATTTTGTCATTCTGTAAGCATTCATTGTTACGATTTTGCCCCTTCCCCCCAAAAAAGCTAACAAACTGGAAGTATGCCTGCCTTTTGTTTCTTTGCAGCTCCAACCAGATTTGGCCCATTTAAAACTTGATATTTTTTTTTGAAAGCTTCTCCTCCCACTCCAAATTAACCATTCAATTCTGTTTCATTTTCAGAGGTTATCCTGCTGAGAGACAGCCAGTCGAATGGGTGTCCTGAACCCATTCCAAATAGTTAAATTCCAAATATTGGCAATGTGTTGGTTGAATCTGATATTTTTGTATTAACAACAACAAAAATCCACCATGAATTAAATGAAAACGGTTTATTTGTATTTTTATTGTATTGTTTGGGATTTCTTTATCTGTCTGTCTGTCTGTCTGTCCTTCCTTCCTTCCTTCCTTCCTCTCTTTCTCTGTAGGAAACAGCTGCTTTCTTTTGAGTACTTAATTCTAATTTACCCAGTGGTGGGATTCAATTTTTGTAACAACAGGTTCTGTGGGCGTGGCTTAGTTGGAGGTGTGGCTTGGCAATCATGTGACTAGGTGGGCATGGCTAGCTGGTCATGTGACCGGGTGGGCGTGGCTATGTGCATAGGGACTACTCAGAGGGCTGAAAAAAGTCATTTCTGACTGGGCCTCGCACTTTTGACCGGTCCTCACACTTACGACCATCCTCACATTTATGCCCGTGTAGCTTTCTTAACAACCATGTCACTCATTTCACAACTGCTTCTCTTCACCATGGTGACAAGATAGAGCAAAAACGTAAAATGTGAGGACAGTCATAAGTTTGAGGACTGGTCAAAAGTCCGAGGACCAGTCAAAAATAACTTTTTCAGCCGTCTGAGTAGTCCATATGCACAAAAGGATACAGCAATAGAGAGGGATGAAGGAAGGGAAGGAAAATTAGAGTAGGAGTGAGGGTAAGAGAGGGAGGAAGAGAGGAGGAGAAGGAGAAAGGAAGAGGAAGTAGGGAGGAGAAGAAGAGGGGGAGGAAGAGAAAGTAAGAAGGAAAGAAAAGAGAGAGGTGGTAGGTTTGAGGAGAAAGATTGCTGTACAATAAAAAAGATGAAAGGGAAGAAAGCCAACCCCAAACAAATATAAAGATATTAAGATAAAGAATGAATTGTTAAACTTTAAAGAATAAAAGAGAACAAATATGAATAAATAACAATAATTAGAAACACACGTACCAACATACAATGTATTTTCTTTGAACAGAGTATTTGGCCGGTTCACAAATTTAAACAGTGTTTAGTCATTTCAATTAAATTTACAATTTCTATATTTCCTTTTTGCCATATTTATTCCTCATCTATTTTTGTAAAAAAACCAATATTACCCTTCATCCTCATCTCTAATCTTAATCAAATTCAATTTTTCCCTTCTATTCTATATTATACCCCTTCCCATTGTCATATATTTTTATATCCATCCTCACATTGGTTAATTATGTAATATTAGTTGTTTAATAGAAATTCAACATTTTAATATAAATCAATTAGTTATATAACTACCTTTTTTGTATATTAATCAATATGAACATGAATATTCCAATTATTGGCAATAAATAGTGGTGCGGAGGTGCGGGGCAAGCCAGCAATTTAACAAACAGTTCAGCTCCTAGAACCAGCAGAATCCCACCACTGGCTATAGGGCGGCCCTTTGAAGCCCCGCTGCAAGAATTTGAACAGTTTTTTTTCCTCTAGCCATCAGCTGGGACTCAGGAGGCAGCAATAGATTGGGAGTGGGTGGGGTAAGCTAACGGCCGGCGATCCAACAGAGCAGAGAGTGAGGGTGACTGAAGGCGGGGGGCGAGAGAGGGCTTTGGCGACCCCTGTGAAATGGCCGTTTGACCCCCAAAGGGGTCGCGACCCCCAGGTTGAGAACCGCTGGTTTAATGCTCTGGAAGTTTTTCTCTCCCAGGCAAGAAGCAGCAGGGGACAGAAGCAGCAGCCACTGACTTGCAGACCACATGGAGCCGTTCACGTGTTCTCCAGCAAGCTGCTTTCTCCATCCTGCTCTCTTGCGTCCGGAGCCGGTGGGGAACCACGTGGCAGCCCACGTGAATCCCAGGCAGCGGAACTCAGGCTAGGGAAGGGGTGGGCAATTGTGGCTCTTTTACAACCTGTGGCCTTCAACTCCCAGAATTCCTGAGACAGCCAAGCTGTCTCAGGAATTCTGGAAGTTGAAGTCCACAGGTTGTAAAAGAGCCACAATTGCCTACCTCTGGCTAGGGTAGGCTGGCGCCGCGTGGGTGGGAGGTGGGGCAGGGCGAGGGGCGGGCGAGCCAGCAATTTAACAAATGGTTCGGTGTTCTGCGGGGCCAATAAATTACAAAAAAACACCGAACCGTTTGTTAAATTGCTGGCTCGCTCGCCCCATTTATTGGCAATAAATAGTAGTGCGGAGGGGCGGGGCAAGGGACGGGGCGAGCCAGCAATTTAACAAAGGGTTCGGCTGAACCCCCTAGAACCGGCAGAATCCCACCACTGAATTTACCTCAGAATATAAAGTTCAAATTGTCTCAGGTTGAGATCATCTTATTTTCTGGACTTCTAATGCACCTTATGTTATCCAAATATTATATTTGCTTGCTAGGTTTCATTTAAGTTCTGTTTATCTCTAATTGTTTTTTGTATTGTTTTACAGTTTTATATTGTCATTTGGGTTCCATGAAAAAAAGGATAGAAATAAAATTACCAAAAATCACAGCAAAACAAACTGTTGTGAACAATTAATTATTATTATGTTCCGAGTTGGGCTGTCAAGTGAGTAATAGAATGAAATTTGGACATTTTTGTCAGAGCTAAGAAAGCACCACTAAAATAATATTGATCATAGAATTCAATAAAAATGCAAAGGAAGTTCCTACATCAGTCAGAAATTTTGTTTCAAATGCTTAAATAAAGACCTATGCTGTCTTAATCACATTTCAGTCAAAGTTCAAACATTTAATAGAATTCAGTAGAAGAGATATTAGTGCCCTTATTTTTGCCACATGTAAAAATTCTGTTTCAGTCTGCTTACCTTCAAAAGTGAGCTATTAATTTTAGCTAGTGAAAAATGGACAGTTGTATCATGAAAAGGGGAAATATATATTCATATATTCTTTTATTTTTGCATTGAGGAAGGTGTTAGCTTTTAAATAAGATACCTTCTATCTTTTTCAGAGGCTTAGTTCATTGATTTATAAATCTCGAGAAGATGACCCATCTCTTACAGAAGATGAGGTGAGTCTGTCTTGTATGAAATGTATTTAGAAAATGTTACCTGAATAAAGCAGTATTAAGTGTTCTTTGATTAAGAAGATCTGGAAATGAAGGTTCAAATGCAAACTGGATTAGGTGATTATTTTTGCCAAATGCTCTTACATCACTTTCAGCCTTTCATAGTGGAACTATTTTGGGTCACTGACTATTATTTGGGATTCCCTTCTTGGCTATTTAAGAAGTGCCAACATTGATATGGATGTAAGCCCATATAAATATCTGAAGACTGCACGCATTAAATTGTAGTTGATCTTGCCTCCTGACTCTGTCCCTTCCTATCGCATGACAAAAACTGTCAGGACTGGGAAGAACTTTTAAAATGGAGCATAACGTGATAAAAGGATTTGTATCAGAACCAGAAAACATCCTTATTGCAGGAAATGAAAATTCTTTAATTTTGTAACATATAGACAATTTATCCATAGTTTCAATTGGGAAAGAGTGACCATCCTGGACCAAGCCAAATCCAAAAATGCCAGGGATTTCTAGAAGTCTGGCACTCTGATAAATCAGCTATCAATAGACACATAGACATTAACAACATCTATAGACGATGCAAAAGCGATTATAACCCTGCCAAAAAAGCGGGGGGGGGGACTCAGGCACCTCTCCATCAACAATCAGCACGCAGATCAGCATAGATTAACCCCAAGGTTAACATCAGACCAACAATCAAGTAAACAATACCCCAATCAAGAAACTGCCAATGAATATCTTAACACTACCCCCACCAACACTGACAGACAAGCCACTAGAACAGGGATGGCGGCCAGCAGGCCGGATGCATCACATGCAGGCCACACCCATCCCAGCTCTGCAAAGGCAAAAAAGTTATGATACGTCACATGACATCCCATGACACGATCGAGTTTGACACCCGTGCACTAGAATATGAACTGACAACAAACTGCACTCCTTACTAGCACTAATGATGTTACCTAATTTGGATAATGAAACATCTGCAAGAAAACAAGCAAGCTCAAAGAGCACCAAGGACCCCTCATTTCAACCCTGTGCTACAAATATTCTCCTTTATTGATTTCTTAGGACTATTTAAGTCTAATGTAGAATGGAGCAGATATGATTCAGTCAATTAAGTTCTTCAAAATAATACATAAGTTTCCAAACTGTCAACCAGAACATTGTACAGTGAACTCCATTCCGTGAACATTTTATGAAGCCCCATTTTTTAATGCAAGCAACATTGAATGGTTACCACACTTTTGCTTTTCAACCATGTGGTAAATTTATCATGCCTTGCAGTTTTTAATGGCAAACATTACAAACATTTTACTAGGTGGCTTTTTTCACTATGGAGAACAGTTGTATTTCTCTATGTCCTGTTCATACATTCTGATGTCAGTCTAACAGAGATATATCAAGAACAAGGCTTCTGAGCACAACCCCTTCCCTTCATATACTATAATGGAAAACTTTTGTAATTACAAATGAGCTGTAAAAACATGATCTTTCCACAGATATCATGCTCATTTTCATTTTAATAGGGCATGTTTTGTTAGATCAAATATCTTATATTGAAATAGACTACTTGTGCTACTATATTATTCACTGAATATGAAAATATCATTACAAAAATATTTGTAATGTTTTAGTGCAATTACTTTATTTCTTTCCTTCATAGATTTCAGCAATGTATTCTTCTATAAATAAAACAGGACAACCCTCTAGAGACTTGGAATCTACATATACCTGTATTCCTGAACTTGTACCTCAGAAGTCTCCATCTATTTGCAGTGGCCTCTATGCCAGTGTGAAGGACTTGGAAACAAATCCAAACCTTACTGATTTGCCTCAATCAACAATACTTCTAAATGGGGACTTGGAACCAGACTATGAAGCCATTCAGACTCTAAGTCGAGAGGAGGAAAGAAATGTTTTGATGTCTAGCACCATTCAAACCATCCTCCCACAAGAGAATGACTATGAGAGTATTGGTGATTTGCAGCAAAATAAAGATGTCACCAGGCTTTAACTGATTCAAAGACAAGACTTTGGAACATGCTGTTCAGCATGTCTTTCAAGATAGGTTTACTCCATGACTTATCACTTGCAAACTCAACACACAGTTGGAAATGTAAAATGTCCAAAAAGTATTTTGCTTGAAATGATATCAGGTAATGTGAAAACTTAGCCTGGGATGTTTGATCAATGATTCCTGCTTCATATCCATCAAACTATCATATAGAAATGAACTTACCCTAACAAGCAGGCAAATGCTCCGTTTGAAGAACCAAGATCACATGGATGAAAAAACACACACAAAGAACAGAAATGCTGCTGTTTCATCAATGTGCACAGTGATTTTTCTACTCCTGTAGGTGATGTTATCACAACATAGATAGAATCAAAAATGAGGATTCTGGAAAGGCTTCTATAGAAGAGACATGATGAAGCAAGAATGACATGTTTGAAGCACATGTTCAGGCACATACTCATATCTTAATATATAAAAAGTGGTACTGTTAAACAAGGGCCATTTTAAAAGATCTTTACTTTCAGTTACCATTTTATTGAAATGTATTCCCAAATTATACATTCATTTAGGTTGTTTTCAAACATAGGCACAGCTTGCCATAAAGAGCAGATAAATTTAGCGGGCTGATTTGCCTTAATTCATTGTTTCTCAATCATGGCAACTATAAGCTGTGTGGATTTCAACTCCCAGAATTTCCCAGTCAGCAATAGGGAATTCTGGGAATTGAAGTCCACACAGCTTAAAGTTGTTAAGATTGAGAAACACTTCCCTAATATATTTAATGCAGCCATGAGATGTTGTGAGTGAATCTGCTTGCCTATTCCAGGTTCATGCTTCAGCTTTGATCTTGCTTTAGAGCAGAGGTCTTCAAACTTGGCAGCTTTAAGACTTGTGGACTTCAACTCCCAGAATTCTCCAGCCAGCATGCTGGCGAATTCTGGGAGTTGAAGTCCACAAGTCTTAAAGCTGCCAAGTTTGAAGACCTCTGCTCTAAAGCAACACAAGAGCAGTGACTGAAACATTGGCATTTGTGGGAATTAGGAAAGACAGTGCCTTTGTGAGGAACTATACAGATGTGGTTGAAGAAAGCATGTACATCTTGTTTGCTTCATGGGTGGTTTACAGACTGGCTATATAATTTCTGACTATTTTTACAGTTTTTTAATTTTGTAATACCCATTTTCTTTCAATATTGTGCTAGGATTGATTTATATTTACTGGTGGTAGAGTCAGGCTATTTAAAAATATATTTAATACATATACAATTTCTGCTTTTCAAACACTAGCTATCACTTTTATTTTTATCCTTAATGTATTTTGCAACCTGCCCAAACAAGCTGCAACATTTTGCAGAGGTTATAATTCTCTCAGAAACAAAAATGCATCTTTAAGAAGTATCTTTTTATATAAAATTGTAAATAAAACGTAAGACACATTATACACTCTGGAGTTATTTAATGAAGTGTTCAGGATACTTGAGTCCAAAAAAGACTGTAAAGAAAATTGTTTAAAGTAAAAATTAATACAAATAAAGGGAAATGATGGTATTCTTAGTAACCTACAATTTTAGATATTCTCAGAATCACTCATGACAATATTCATGTTCACTTGTTCAATTTTGATTTGCAGCCAACTCAAGATAGCTACTGCCACTGAATTGTTTCTTTTATAGCTAGGCAAGATTTCAGAAAGTTTTGAACCAGCAACCATAGAAACACAAAACAACAGACCTTCCTTGCAGAGATTGTAAATTCCACAGTATTATCAAAAAAAGTGATACTGTGTTTGGTTTTTATAAAGATTAGTGCCAATACTTAGCATGTGAATTTCCTCTAATCCATTTTACCAAAATAGCATGTGTGAAATTCTACCTTGCCTTCCAGTTATCTTTATATCTCTACTCCCTTTCTTCTCCTCAGGTTTATTCAGTTTATTTGCATAAAAATATCGCACAGCATTGAAAGATAAGTACATTTATTACAGTTTAAGATTTTGAATCAGATTGTCACTTTATTCAACCTTCGTTAGGCACCACAAGATGTTTAATCTGTTGCTTAAAAGCAATAAATATGGCTGACCTCTGGAAACTGATCCACACAATTTCCAAAGGATGTGACATTTAAAGATTTCCTGCATAGATACTGTAGAACTAAATACCACGTTATGTAAAAGAGAACTGCATGTCTCCAATATTCACAGATATATCCTGTAAGGAACTTTATTGGGAATAATGCAGCTTTTTGAAAGAAAAAAATGCATATTAATTTACTGAATCTGTTGTATCAGATGTGTCTCTTTTTGTTAAATACCACTATTTAACATAAAAATGGATATATAAGCCTACAATATTAAAGTATTTGTATGAATATTAATTCCCATTAAAAAGTTGGATTATCATTATCAGAATAATCTGCCATAGAAATTGAGGGCCTACTGACCGCGGAAGCTTGGTCTTTAATTTATTAGATTAGTTTTAAACTGAATTAAGTCTTGATTTTAACAGCTGTCACACAGACATAATTTCATGGTCTTTTCTGGTGGTTGCTCCATATTTGTTGGAACTGGACAGTTTGCCTCAAGGACTGAATGGCAAATGCATGTATATATATATATATAGGGATACCACATTTTTGATGGTGTAATACGAAGTGAAAATTACTGCACTGGTGAAAATAATGCTCATAAATTGAGAGAGGCGGTTGGGGGGGGGTGAGGGAGAGGACTGTTCATATATTTAGCATTTAGGAAATTTACTTCCCAAAGCTTTTCATAGAAGTTCTGCATATAATGTATGTCCTAGGATGTTGGCTTACATTTCAATATGCTGTTTCACATGAACATTTCATCGCTGCTGGGTTTAAAAAAATGCTCGGATGGGCGGGCTACATTTGAAATAACCACCTCCTACTAAGCTTCAGGATACATGTATACTAATACAAATGCAGAATTCTGTGGAGAAGCTCTGGATCCCATCAATCTTCCTCCTGTGAGGAATTATTTTCACCAAAGCCATCTGTATGAGGAACATCTTATTTTAAAATATATAGCAGAAAGTATTTGTGAACTCATCTTCCAGAATAAATACAGTCTCCTATGGTGCAATATGGCGATAGGCATCTTATTCCTTTCAGCATAAAAGACTGTGCCTTTACAAATTTACCTTCCGTGAAAAGTCTGGACAAACGCTTCTGACAATAGAACACTTGGTGCATTCTCTTAAAACTGTATGGTGCTGTACAAAATTCTTACAAATATTTCATTGTATGTGTTTCTGATAGCTTGTTTGTACTGGGTTTTTTGTTTTTGTTTTTTAAAAGGGAGAGTTTTTTTCTACTAAATTATCTATGTTGCTTAGTTTGGGATGTTTTATTTCAAGCAATGCTTTGTGCACTACAAGGAGCACCACAGGCATGCTTAGGAAGTGTTAAAAATGGGTGAGTTTTTCTAAAGCACAGAGAATTACCCATGAAAAGAGGAGAGAGGGGTATTCCTGGTAGGATCGAAGAAGGTAGTTGTAAGCATCTAATGGCAGTAGTAAGAAGCAAAGAAAGTTAATAGTATTGCAGATACACATTTGCTGGCCTTGTGTTATATATGTGATGTGTGTTCTACCTGTATCTTTTGTTTTTTATATATACACATTTTTCTTAACAAAAGAAAAAAATATTTGATTTGATGTTTTGTACTTCTGCCTTGTACCTGGTTTCTGTCAATCTATTTCTGCAAAAGGATATTAAAGCCGAAAGGTAATGGATGTCAGTATATTGTATGGAGGTTCTTGACCAAGTAACTTTTCTTTTAATCTCAGCAGTTTTCTCACAGGACTGGTATGGTACCACTACACCACTGCAAACAGGAAGCTCTTTTGTGAGAATGCTCACAATATTGTCAAAGCTCACCAGCCTCAAAACATTAGGAACCTTGCCTTGGTGCTTCTGAAGTCTAATTTGTTTTTGAAATCTAGCAGTGCTTTCATTTGAGAAAAGAGTGGAGTGACCATCAAAGAGTAAGAAAAATGTTTTTGCATTTGTTTGCCCAGTTGTAGTTTCCCATCATTGTGTAGACAAAAATGAATGCAGCTACAAGAGTGTCTCTGCAGTTTTCTAATAACTGAAAGATTTGATTGCCTCCTGTTTGTACCCTTACAGAAGACAGTAATTATACAGCACTTTCATGCTTAGAAAAAATATATCTCTAAGTATCAGGTGCAAGGACAAGGCTTGCTCTTTAAATGCCCTTTATGTAATTAGCCACTACTAGCAGCAGATAGTCCTTGGTCAATCCACAAAGATTGCCAATAAATTCAAAGAGAGGGACAGCTTACTGTACTTGAATTGTTTGTCTTAGAGGCGAAACTTAAAATTTAATAGAAGAGACTAAAAGATGCATTCTGGGAAATTAAGAAAATTATTGTTTTTCAGTGGTTACTTTTTAAGCACCAGAGGCATGACAAATCAAGAGAAAAGATAATGGAGTGCTTTGTGTAAATTATGCTTTGGAATCAGAATTCTTGACAAGATACTACCCTGCATCATGAAACCATTTATGTCAGTTGTCACAGTTTTGAACGGTATAAAATTTTCTTTTTGCCGTACACTTTTATCCTCTAGATGTCCAAATGCTCATAATAATTCATGTAATATTCAATATACTGACAGTAAAAATCAGTAGAAAAATGTGAAAAGTGGTCAGATTTTAAAAATGTCAAAGTACTCCTGTTTCTAAACTCTGATAATAAGTAGTATGCTTCCTTGGAATTGATTGTATTGACAAATGTGTTTGGCTTTTAATTTGATGATGCCAGTTTTTCCTCCAAATGTCATGCTAATATTCTCCTCTATTACCTTTCACTTGCTTCTTTAAAACAGAACTGCTAGAATTGCCAGAATTGGAAAACACCAAGCTGATGAATGATCTTCTGCCATTATAACATAATATTTTCAAAATTTGTAAAATTTAATATGCCAATGACCCTATTTTTTAAAAATGTCTGGAACAAACCAGCATCAAAACACACAAAACACATTCATCCATTTGTAAGCAAGCAGATTTCCATATACAGTCACATAATATTACTATATAATATCCCACATATACCCACCAGCTGTCTCATACTTTTAATTAAAGAGGTTGGGATTTGAATGATATGCATTTAACAAGCAGACTAATATTGCTCGCTGTGTATACTGAATGACTAAAGTGTTCCACAAAATAGTTTTTTTAGGAATAGATCAATTATTTTATAATTGATTTCACAACACATAACATTTGTCTAAAGTAAGAACTCATATGATGCCTTTAAAAAATTATCAAGCCAAGAATTTGCTATATCCATAAGACTTCTGTGATTGAAATGTAAGTATAAATAGAAAAAGCCCAGTAAATACAGCTTCTCCCACTTCTGTTTTGCAATGACAACATAGTTGTCTCTGTGAATCTCTTCATTTATTCTTAAAAGATTCAGAAGCCACATTCCATTCTATATTAACTAAGCCAACCATTTTAATATGAGCATTTGGCTTCAAGAATGTTTATATGCAACACAAACATCATATTTAATGAAGGGCATGGCAGCATCTTTTCTGCAAGAGAGATGAAAAGGTACTTTTAGCACAATTTGGAGATTATCTTAAAAAAAAAACACCTTCACTCCTAGGAATAACTTAAGAAGCAAAAGCTAAGATTCCAACAAGTCTAGATCAAATCCTAAGGATTTGATTTATTGGTGGTCTCTCCCCATCCTCCCTCACTTGCACCACCTGCTCCTAAGTACTAACTAGATCTATTCCTCTCCAGCTTTTTCTAGATCACTCAACCAAGGTCAGTGAAGCGTTGCCAGGTATATTTCAGCATGCTTACTAACCTTGAAAAAAATGAGTTTCTATTCAAAGCAAAATGATT